CGGCTTTAGGAAAATATCACATTTATCTGTGGATTATCAAAGGCTCCGTGTATTAATTTAATACATGTAACTGAATATTAAGATGAAAGCAATTTGCCATTAACTGCCAGTGGCCTCATTTGTTACACTTGGGCCTATAGGGCCTCGAACCTCTGACCAGTCTTACATGGTCCGCAACAGTGGGACACGAGAGGATATTTGGAATCAGCGGATGGAGAAATGAATACAATCGAAAGGCTCTTCAGCTTTCTGTGCTGTCCGGCTGTTCTGTCCAGCTTCTGCCTCCTGCTTTCTGCTTCTACTTCTTTCTGCCCTATGCCTTATGCTGTCTGCCCTCTGCCTCCTTCCTCCTCCCTCCTTTCCTCTGCTACTTCTGCCCTCTTTTTCTTCCTCCTACTTTCTGCCGCTTCTTCCAGCCCAGCTCAGCAAGTCTTTATTTTTTATACTTAAAACTACACAGTACATGCATTGATACTTTTATCATTTCTTGAATTATTACACAGTTAGTCACAACATTCTTGCACTAGACAACTTTGGTCACTAGACAACTTTGGTCACTAGACAACTTTGGTCACTAGACAACTTTGGTCACTAGACAACTTTGACAAAATACTTCTGTGATGTTCAGACTGACCTTCATTTCCTTTCCCAGTATGAGATAAAAAAACTGTTTCTTCTTGTTTCTACTAAAAGATTATAAACTTTCTATCCTACATAATGTGCTATTATTTTCATAATAAAGGTATTCATTAAATCACTTGGAAGCTATGTGGCATAAAACCCAACCTGGCTACTTGCTGCAAGAAGTGTAGATTATGAAGTCAAAACTATCCTTCACTTAAGTTCATTATTGTCTGTCTGTTTCCACAGGTGTCTATATGTAGGGGTTTGTGAATTCTAGCTAGTGACTGATTGTGGTGAGGTTTATGAGGGTAGGTCAGCTTGACTCTAATATGCTATCTACTTTTGTGGCCTCACAAATGCAGTTACTTAGGTTTTCTAATGAAAGGGAGTAATTTACACACAATTTCTCTTTGTATTCAATCCACCAAGGCTGAAAGCAATTGTTGATAAGCTAGTTTTTCCTAAGGTTAGTAAAATTCATAGTGAAAAGCTGAGAATATTGCCATATTATATATTTTTACAAGTAAATTCAGAGCTAACTTTAAGGGAAGAT